GCAGCAGAAGACCACACTGGATGCCAATTCTGTCAGATAAGAACAGGAAACTGAGTCTACAAATTGCACAGGCTCACCAAAATTGGACAATAGAAGATTGGAGAAATGTTGCCTGCTCTGACGAGTCTCCATTTCGGCTGCGACATTCGGATGGTAGGGTCAAAAATTCATCAACAACCTGAAATCATTGATCCATCCTGCCTTGTATGAATGGTTCAGACTGGTGGTGGTGGTGTAATGGTGTGGGGAAATTTATTGTTATTTATTGGAGTATTGTTGCTGACTATTTCCATCCCTTTATGACCACATTTTCTTTTTTTTGTACAATATATTTATTACTTTGTTCAATTTGCATATCACAACAAATTACACAATTACAGAATAATAATCATGAAGACACAGCAAACTTTTTACCCCAACTTTTTCCAATCAGGAGCAATAATACGTTCAGCTTGTAAAATACACATATTTATGAATCTGACCTCTTTGCTTTGTAAGAGAGGGCTGACAGGGTATATACCCAGGAGAAAAATCTTAGGGTCTAATGGTAATTTCTTTGATAAAATTTGGTCAATTATTTCAATAACACCTTGCCAAAAGGATTTCACGTTCACACATTCCCAAATACAGTGATAAAGTGTACCTCTTACTTCATTACACTTTATACAGATATCTGGAATATTATAATTAAACTTGTGCAATACAGCAGGAGTTATGTATGTTCGCATTAACTGTTTGTACTGTACGAGTTTCAGGCTACTGTTGATTGTTTGTATCTGAGCTTTCTTACATGCCTCTTTCCAATCCTCTAGAGATATTTCATCTCTTTATATCTTCTTTCCATACCTTATGAATAGGCCCACACGGAATCTGCGCGCAGAATTCCACAGATTTTCCGCAGAATTCCACAGATTTCTACAGATTTTTAGCACATCATTAATTCTGTTTATTTACTTGAGTAAATGTGTAATTGTAAATTTATTTAGTTTTTAAATAGTAATTTATTACTTTTTATTTCATATATCAAGGTTTTAGTTATGATACTCCGCTGGATACTCCCAAAATAATTCCGCAGAAATCCATAGATTTTTACCAAAATTCTCAGCAGAAATAGCAAAAAACTTCCGCAGATTCCGTCTGGCCCAACTTATGACCAAATTTTCTGATGGTTACTTCCAACAGGATAACCATATAAAATGGTTGTCATAAAGCGTGAATAATCTCAGACTGCTTTCTTGAACATGATAATGAGTTCACTGTACTCAAATGGCCTCCACAGTCACCAGAATCCAATAGAGCACCTTTGGGATGTAGTGGAATGAGAGATTCACATCATAGATGGGCAGCCGGCACATCTGTAGCAACTGCGTGATGCTGTCATTAGGGTTGTAACAATATACCGGTATGACGGTCTACCACGATTTGAACGTGCACGATTATCATACCATGAACAATTGCATATCAACGGTTTTAACCCTTAAAGACCGAGACAGCCGCCCGCGGCTAAAAATAAGTATTGCTTTTAAATGTTTAATAACTTTTGATCCGCTGATCCGATTCATACAATTCAAAGATTGGCATGAAGAAGAGAATCTCAGCTTTCCAGTGCTGTATCACATAACATTCGCGGACTTTCAGAGGCTCCGGAATCAGTGCGGTTACGTCATCAAAATTTGACCACGCTGATTTGACAAAGAAACGCTCGTCACTGTGTCTCCGGACAAACCAGACATGATACATTGATGCAATGTCCCTCCTCCATGCCCAGATTGGTTCAAACTCGCTATATCACAACCAATAAGCATAGGTTTCGCTTTTGTTTGTGGACCAAACAATGAGCTTTTTGAACAACACGCAATGAGAGATAGGCATACATTTATGCGTGGCTAAATAAAACGCAAAAAAAAAAAGTTTTGCATGAAATAATTCTCATACTAAGTACTTTTGCATGGACAGCAGCACAGAAACATGACAAAACAGTGACACAGCAAAGACGAACTGCTGCTCTTGCTGTTTTCAAAAGACACAAATGAAGGTGCAGCTGTTTGTCTGCATTGCATACAACCACATCCAAATCCATATCCACAGACAACCATATCCATGCTGGCACATAAAACCTAAGGATGTTCCATATTGAATCTAGTTTCGTTATGTAACTATTTATAGTATAGTAAATATTTATATCTATTTACTGAGGATTTGCACCATGTTTATTTGGACTTTGACACATTATTTATTATTTTCTTATTTTTTTATTTGTTCATTGTAAGTGGTGTTGTTTATAGTAACTGAAAATATATTATTTGGAAAAAGTCAAATTTGCTTCACTGTTCTATTATTTTGTAACATTTGTAACATACCGTATACCGCGAAACCGTCAAACCGTGGTATTGTTTTAGACTATTATCATACCGTAAAAAATTCATACCGTTACAACCCTAGCTGTCATGTCAATATGGAGCAAAATCTCTGAGGAATAATTCCAGTGCCTTGTCCAATCCATGCCAGGATTAAGGATATGAATGATTATGGGCTTCTAAAGGCAAAAGGGGGTCCAACCCAGTACGGTGTACCTAATAAAGTGGCCATGAGTGTACATTATAATAAAACATCATGAGGAAAAATCAAATCTAGGTAAAACTTTTTTTTAAATGTTGTCGGTGACTGACAACTTTTTCAAAAATGCCGGCAGAGAAAGAGTTCAGAAACATTTTATCATTCAAAACAGTTGTCCTGCATCATGTTTATTTGGTAAACCGATGCATATGGATTTTTAAACAAACGCACAGTTCAAAAGAACATTATTTATTAAAAGCTACACCATTATTGGTCAATTCAATGCATTCTCAATTAATTACAAGCTACTTCTAATTACAAATTGTCTGCTAATACAGCTACGCTGCGTGATTCAAACAACCGCTAAACCTAAAAATGTAGCTTTAGCGTGTCAGCCATGCATCTAGCTCATATAAGCCTGGTTGGTTTTTAAATTGTTGCCACCTCCCGCTAGCACGCACTAGATTTAGCTCAGCAGCAGGCTTGCTGACAGACCCCCTCGTCTCAAGAGCCGCTGTCGAATTTGAATGAAAGACCCCAAGGAAAGATGTGTCTGATTAGCAGATGTCGTCGAGAACAAGCTGCTGGGAGGCCAGCGTCTCGCTAAGCTCACGGGACGTGTTTACTGGCTTTAAATAGACCCCATCCGAGACAGTGGCCCATGGGGAGACCAGCAGCACTTCAGCATCACTAAACCCCAATCATCCATCAGGCGACACCAGGTGGGCTGATTCTGCCCATGCAAATGACGCCAGAGAGAGACGAGATCTTAATAGGATTTCATCTTTCCCAGTGGCAAAGAAATCACATTTTCCTTTCGCAAAGACAGAAGTGGAACAAGTCCTTTATTTCATTTGTTATAGGAGTAATCTTGTATTGGCTGAAGTCTGTGGTTTTTCTTGTTTAGCTCTTGTTATAGGCGAAGAAAGTACGTTTTTGAGCTTGCCTTGTTTGTATGTATGGCCATCGGGCTTCTGAGTCGACCTTGAGGTTTCAGATCTTTGATCCGTCGACTGTAACTGATGTTCTTTACACTTTAATGGAGATGATCGGCTTCCTCAGTTTCTCCTGCTTTCCACTTTTATTTTCCTTTGTAGTCCGTGGAGAGGTTTGTTGGCTAGATTTGCAGTTCTCTTTTCTGTCTAGATGCTCATCTGCACGGTTGCATGTGTAATCATCTACTTTCAATGGAAGCTGTCCTTCAATAACGTTTGAGAAAGAAGCAGCCTGCCGCCATTTACAGTGACTATTATTCCTCATCAATGTGTCTGAGGCATTTTTTTCACAATTAATGATAGTCCTCTACGTCCCACTGTGGCCCTGCATATATTTTTTTAATGATAGTAATAGTGATAGTATTTTAAAATCAAAGCAATGTGTTGTATGACTCATGCGTCTGACAATATATTTTTGTTATGTTTATATATATATATATATACACACACACAGCGAGGAAAATAAGTGAACGTCATGTTTTTTTTCCTTGGAATAATATTTCTAAAGGAGCTGTTGACATAGACTTTAACCAAATTTTGGTAAAAACCTGAATAACACAAACATAAAAATAAAACAAAAACAATCTGAGAAATGAGTTCTGTGTAATAACGATGGAATGACAAAAGGAGAAAGCAATGCACTACTGAAATGCGTTTAATACTTTATAAAAGGCTTTTTTTGGTTGCGGCAGCTTAAAGATGCCTCTCATATTGAGAATGAAGTCACATGCATTGCTCAGGTGTGAGTTTTTCACAGACTTCAACAGAGTGTCAAATTCTTGATGGTTCTGTACGTCTCGTCTATCTAATCTGATCCTAATTTGTATTTTCTATTGGATTCGAGTCAGGTGACTGGCTGGGCCATTCTACAGCTTGATTTTCTTTCGCTGAAAGCATTTGAGAGTTTTCTTGGCTGTGTTTGAGATCATTGTTTTGCTTAAATCCACCATGGTTCATCTTCATCATCCTGATAATGTAGATGTTGGCATGATTAAACTCAGTTAAACAGAAATTGGGAAATACATATATATATATATATATATATATATATATATATATATATATATATATATATATATTTTATTTTTTTTTATTTTTTTTTTGTTTAACAGAGCAAGGAAAGTTTCACAGTATGTCTGATAATATTTTTCTTCTGGAAAAAGTCTTATTTGTTTAATTTCGGCTAGAAAAAAAGCAGTTTTAAATTTTTTTTAAAAACATTTTTAAGGTCAAAATTATTAGCCCCTTTAAGCTGTATTTTTTTCTATAGCCTACAGAACAAACCATTGACTCGTCTTCTTTTATCAGCCCTTTTGGGAAATGAGCATCGACACACCATTTAGAGTGGAAGTTGAGGCAGACAAATGTCTTGCAAAAACCTAAAAAGTGACATTACATCTACAAAAAAGTTATTTTACTTCATAGGACCTTTTCCTCTCTGCTTTCCAGTCATCAGCAAAGAGTCTTCGTGCCACGATTGGCGAGGCATTTGAGCGACTTCAGCGTTTTCTCCGGGAGCGGCAGAAGAGCATGCTGGAGGAACTGGAGGCGGATACGGCGCGAACACTCACTGACATAGAACACAAGATCCAGCGCTACAGCCAGCAGCTCCGCGACGTTAAAGAGGGCATCCAGATCCTGCAGGAGCGACTCAGTGAAACTAGCCGTCACGAATTCCTGGAGGGAATCGCCCTGACGTCGGACAGGTACTAAAAAAGCCGTGTGACCCGGAGATGAGCGTATGTATGTGCAGGGTGTTTTGTGTGGTAGTTTGAGATTCTCTGGTCTAAAAACGTTTTGTCTTTTTTCTTGTAACTGCTGGTCAGGGAGCAAGTGATTCGTGGAGGGTATTGCTGGTGGAAGCTACCAAGGCAAGTCAGGTTATTTGACTTATGTATGTGACCATTACCCTTTGCCATATGACACAGGAGGCCAGTTAGAAAGATGACTGCAGAATAGACTACTGTAGGTTAAGGTTAGTTGAGCGGTGGATTAAGCATGACTTTTTTTTTTCATTTTTATATATTTAATTTTTTTAAAGAAATAAATACTTTTGTTTGGCCATGCTGCATTTATTTGATCAAAAGTACAAAAAAACAGTAATATTCCATGCAATATTATTACAATTTCCAATAATTGTGTTATATTTAATATATTAATTCTTTGATGCAAAGCTGACTTTTCTGAATATCCAGCAAAATATAAGTCTGTAGTGTTCAGTGCTTATTATGAGATGAAAATTATCAAATGAAAATAGTTTTGCTGATTATTTATTTATTTTAAAACTTTATGCATCTTCTTTGAGAGTATTTTATGAATTATGTTAAAAAAGAAAGCATTTATTTGAAAATAAAAAAAAACTTTTGCTAAATCATTTTGATCAATTTAATGCATCTTTGCTAAGTGAAAATATTGAATTATTTAAAAAATGACTTTGTCGTGTTGTCTTAATTATGATTTATCAATGCACATCTTTTTTTATTGTATGTGCCTTTATAATCTGTATTGAAAATACCTACCCCCTCCCTCTTTTACAATATCTTCCCTCTTGATTGGTGGCAGGAACCAATGTAGGAATGCTCATAATAAGCGTTTCACCGTTAACCGAAAGGGTGCGTTTTTAACTGATCATGTTTATCAGTTAAACGATTAAAAATCAGAAAAGTTTGGCTGCATAAATGTGCAATACATATTTGTTAACTCACAGGGTGGTAAAGCGTGCAACCACACGCGCCTAAAAACATATTTTGTCAAAGAAGCAAAATGAAAGAAGAATATTGCTGGTCACAGTTTGACACAGACGAGTTGATGCCAAACCAGAGCTGATACTGATCGCCTCTGTCCTGGATATGGTCATAAACACTTCTGTTTATTTGCACAATTGGAGAAAGAAGCACAAAACTTTCTGAAATGTGCGCTGCTTTTGAAACAAGCGGCCACAAGTCAGATCATCTGGGTTTTCTGTCCATCAAAGCGCACTCAATCACCGCTCATAAACACAACGAACAGGCTATAGTTGTGATGATTTAGTGTACAACCAACAAACTAACCTTTTTCCATTTGGAAAATTAGAGTTATTAATAGTTCTTATAAAATATCCATTTTAAACTAGCCTAATCTACAAGTCAAACAAATCCACAGATTTTCTTGATTTTTGCATAAAGATAACTGTGCACCAGACTGACGCTTTCATTTTATAGCTTAAAATATTGCATTAATATGCAAGCATATTTTATATGTAAATAACAACATTGTTATGTGCTATAGTAGCCTATACTTTACTAAAATGCAATATATACGCTTTGTCATTGCCTTTAATCACACACAGTGAGTGCACTTTTATCACGAGTGAAACAGAGGAAATAAAAGCTCACAAGCTCAAAGGTAAACCAGACGGTCAAGACATAATCTTTAAAATAACAACCTTTATTAAAATGTTGACAGAGGTTTACGATATAAGAATAACAGCGGAGCACTAATTAAATGCATATTTTCCATGGAGCGGTTAATTTGTAAAAAATAGCCTGCAATTTTTATTCAACGGAAGAAAAAAAACACATGATGGAAAAAAACAGCCTATGCCGGTTCTTAAAAAGGATTCAGTCAGTGTTTTCATTTTGTAATCTTAATTGGTCATTTCAGTGATATATAGGGCAGACCGGCTTATTTCATTGTTTTATTTAATTTGTTCTTTATTTCTATGATGTTGGAAACACTGCAGGTGCGTGAAGATGTTCTGTTGTTAATATGTTCGCATGTTAAAATAAATGTGTATTTTAAATTCAGTATTTAATGCGTCAGACACAAAATAGACTTGTCAATTATTATTTTTTTAATTAAATTATTATTATTAATCTGACTAGATAACGGTTAATATTCAGTTAATGAGCGGCAGACGGTTGGCAAAATTAACCACAATGAGCATCCCTAAACCAATGCATGAGATCTATCAATAGCAAACAACAACCATCCAAATCAGTTCCACATGGACCAAATCAAGCTCCACCCTACACTTTCGGAGAAGCTGTTTCTAGTTTGGAAAGTGTTACAATAGGGAAGAAAAGATTTATGTTGTTTTATGTTGACGTTAAGCCTTTCTGAGAGATCTGCATTTCTGAATGGGTGTGTTAGCAGGCGTTTGGCAATGATGAGCAGGGAATGAGTTAGCCATATGGGAAAAGGACTTGCATGATTAATGCTGGGGTTGAACTAATGAAAGTGATCTGCAGCGTTGCCCAGATTGACCTCACTCCCAATGGTGAATTTGAGCTGTTTGACTTTGCAGGGCCGGCACAGCTATGTAGAAAACCCTAAAAACGAGTGTTTGGAAACAGGATCTAGACTCTGAGGATTCCTTTGCTTGGGTTTGGTGGGTTGCCAATGTTGAATTTGAATAATGCAATTGTTGTCCTGTATCTCCACAGAATAAAGGGAAAAATCCACGAAACCAACCTCACCTATGAAGACTTCCCCACATCCAAGTACATGGGGCCCTTACAGTATACGATCTGGAAGTCTCTTTTCTTGGATATTTCACCAGGTAATGTGCCAGAACTTGAGTTATTTGTTTTTTAATGTTAGAGTATTTGTTTAACCCTCAGGCATACCATACTGCAACCCTTAATCTTTCCCTTGTGGACATTTTGGAGCACAAAGGTCTTTAGTGTGAACCCAATTTTATTTTTTAAGCAATTGTTAAAAAATTGTATCTATCAATTTATTAATACATTTTAAATGTATATCCACCTCAAAGTACAAATTAAAAAATGCTTTTCAATTAATTATTACCCAATTAATTCCTATGGGTTAAATTATGGAGTTGGATTCAAAGACATACATTTTGTTATGTCCTTTTACTTGCTAATAATAAACTAAGGGAATTTTGACATAGCATAATAGTTTAGTGTGTGTATGACCAATGGATGGAGAAGGAATAAATGAAAACCAAATATCACTGCAGTTGATTATTTATTGCCCTTACTATCAGTGAAAATGTTGTACAGTGAAAGAAAAAAATATATATAATAAATAAATGATAATTTAAGTTGGAGGTAGGAGGTAATTAAAGGTGCTTAAATCAAACAAAGGAGTATAATAAAATAGGGCTGGGTAATATTGCAAAAAAAAAAAAAATCAAAGCAAACTTTTAAGTTAGATCAACATCTGTACAGTGTGAATAATAATGATACAGTAAACCTCAAAGTCTGTAAACAAAACTAATTATGATAATCAAATCTGAGCTTCATTATTAAAATACACATAGCAACATACGAATTGTGAAGCTGAATGACTATATTAGCCTCATGCTAAACAAATCTTTCAGATGGGGTGTTAGTGGCTGGGATGCACAAGAAAAGAAACCAAAAAGCCACATAACTACATGACCACAACATGTGCACGTCGCTCCAATTGTGCCATTGTGCACATCGTGCAACTTGCGCGCCTCCATTTGAAATGACAAACTTACACCTTCAGATTATTGGCATTTCTTCCAAGGCTCGCGCTCAGCAGTCACATTTTCATAAAACTATAGCCTTCATGCCGAAACTTCATACCGAATCTTTTATTTTTAATCGATATTGATAATGGTGTCCTGTCAATACATATTGATACAATTTTTTATCGCCCAGCCCTATAAGAAAACATACTAACTGTATTAAACAAACTAAACTAAATATCAAAAGAAAAGCATGAAAAGAAACATCTTCAATGTACTGAGCGTCTTAACTAAACTACTCTAACGTTAAGCACTGTCAACAAATATTTTTCCTTCATACCTCATAAGATGGGACAGCGCATCGGACTACGGCAGCTGGATTATGCTGTGTTCACGCCAGACACGGGACGTGCGGATAAATCGCGATATTCGCGTGTAAATAGATGCGTGAACATTTTAAGCTTGCTCTCTTCATTCGTGCGTCAAATTTACTGAGCAAATGACGCGGATTCGCCTATTAGGCGGGGCTTCTGTCTGCCCAATGACTGTAGCTTCATTGCTAAATAGCTAAAATGGATTTCATTGAGAAAATAACTGTGTTTATGTGCTTTATGAAGACTCAAAAACTGCTTCGATTCATTTGGAGCCATGTCTGAGTCCACTAGATCCTTTCAGAGGTGCACCCAGCTCTGTGAGTTCATAAACTTTCCAGAAACTTAACCTGGATAATGGAGGCTTTCAGCGGTGCTTCCGACTGAGCCGAGCCTAGTTTGATCCCGGTGTCGGCTGAAGGATTTCCCCCCGGGACACTAACAACAGGTGCTACGTCATAAGCAGGCCCCTAGAAGAGCAAGCTCCTGATTGGTTAACACGATGTGAATGTCCAATGAAGTTCAGATTTTCTAACTTGAGCGATTCGTGCGAAACGCGCGTTAAGCACGTCATTCGCGCAAAACGCTCAACCCACGGCGCTTCATTCGCACGTATCGCGCCACAGGATGTCTATTTGCGTCTTTGCATTGATTTAACATGTAAATCACTCGCACTTGACGCTTCTTCCGCATCTGGTGTAAACGCATTAGTCCAAAAAGGCGCAGTGATTTTTGCTGATTGGGTCTGTTTTAGCTCGGATCATGTTCTCACCACAAACGAATTGCTTCAGGGTTCGTTTAAAAGTGTATCAAGACCACCTCTACAAGGGGGTCTTGGTAAGCTTTTTATGGTACACTCACACTCCAGTGTGATTGCTGCATTCACACCTTCCCAAAAAAACACACCAAGAGGAAAAACGAACTCTAGTGCGATTCAACCGAACTAAATAAGGCAGGTGTGAAAACACTCTTAGATTAAAGTATTTTCTATTCATTTTTTATGGGTGGACATTTTTGGGCAAGAAGGGAAAGATTAATGTTTGTTTGTTTGTTTGTTTGGTTGTTTTTTCAACCGCTTAACATTGTTGATTTGAGTCTACTTTTTGTGTGTGTTCACAAGTCTTGCCAATTCTTGAACTGCTCAGATGAAGGAAGCTATTTTGAAAAAGTCTAAATGAAGCGAAAACTGCCCGAAAGGAAGCTTGAGGGTTAAATAGTGCTGTGCACAATGTATTGTGTGTTATTAAGAAAGCAACTGCAAATATAGGAGCATGCATCTATCTCAACAAAAGAACTGTACCAATTTTCTTTATGCCTGAAATGTAAGGTTTTCAATATATTTCCATATATTTTCCATTATAAAGGGACTGCAAGGTGTTTGTGAGATTCCCTTGTGGATGCTTTTTGAGAATCCTTCATCTAGTGTGTTTACTTCCCGGCATCTCGAGCTGATTCTTTTTTATATTATTATGTGTGTATAGTCCAGACATAAGCATTTAGAACAGTGAAAAATCCATTATGCTGCATTTGTCTCTGTATTACTGTTTGGCATATTCGAGGTTCAGCCAAGCACATAATACACGACTGAAGTGTTGCCCTTTTTTATTGAGTTCAGACGCTAATTTCAATCTTGCTTGCTGTCATGTTGGAGCTCATTTTACATCACTAATTGTAGACTAGGTGGGTCAAGATTATGGTTGCTTGATTTCATAAAAGGAACTTTACATTTGCACAGGGCAATTAGCTTCTGTCTTGTATGCACTTGAGATTGAGATTTGAACAAACCCAACGCTGTGCTAAAAACCCAAATAACACCTCTAACCATGCAACTTTTATTATATTAGTGCTATATTATTTATTTTCTAAATGATCAGATTGGTGTTGTTATTTTTTATTGCTCGTCTCTGAGCAATAACACACACAACAGCATGCGCTCTTTCACGCTTTAAAAAAACATGAATGATTCGAATGTAAATAAATAAATGAATGATGCGCATCCCGTGCTGCAAAAGGTACATTACAGCATGCTTTTAGTCATCTTGACATGAAACTGTGCTTTGGAGAGCAACAAATTTGTACAACTGGAAAGGTGGCGGTATATAATGCAATAGTAGTTTATCTCCATTAATGTTTTTCATAATCGTTAGAACATACCTGTCAACATTGGTATGTGAAAATAAGGGATATGCCCACCATAATAAGTAGGGGTGTCAAAATTAATTGTTTCTTCGGTGCACCGCGATGCAGATGCAGACAATTCTGTATCGGTTCAGTAATAATCATAACTGGTTATTATGTACTGACGTCATTTATCTCCTATGCGCTCTGTTAAGAGGGAGGTGAGTGCCGGTATTTACAACACTCAGCCAACTCAGAGCCGGCCCGTGGCATAGGCACCATAGGCAAATGCTAAGGGTGCTGTACATCCAGGGGGGCACCAGAAATGATCGCGTTTCAGTTGGTTTTGTTTTCAAAATTCTTGACACACATTCAGTTATAGACGGCAATAACTAAAAAACCTCTTAACCTAAAAAGATCTAAAGTGTGTTTCCTACAAAAAGACAAAGCTGGTTATGTTTCACAGATGTCTTTCTTTTTTTTTCGCTCGACATTACGATCACTGCTCCGTTTAAGCCCTCGCAATATGTGTTTAGCTGGGAGAGCTCGCGCTGAGAGGAGCTCTCAGTAAGGGACCGTTGGAAAAGTGCTTCTTTTTTTCGTTTTTTTTTTTCTCCGTTTTTCTGCTCCGCTCAGCGCAAGCTCTCCCTGTTGCGAGGGCTTAAGTGTGTGGGTGTGTGTGTGTGTGTGTGTGTGTGTGTGTGTGTGTGTGTGTGTGTGTGTGTGTGTGTGTGTTTGTTTGTTTGTTTGGTGCTGCGTGTGTGTGTGTATGTGTTTGAATGAGAGACAGTGTGTTGCTGTGTGTCTGTGTGTTTATACAGACAGCTTGTTATAGCCTCCCCCCTAAAATATAACACTGTATATAGAAAGCATCGTCAATGCACCGTGATGCACCGAGATATCGAATTGAACCGAATCGAAGGCATGATAATCTTAACCGAACCGAACCGTGAGACCAGTATAGGTTAACACCTCTAATAATAAGGGATTCCTCCAACAATGGGTTGCGTATAGAGAGGTTTGACTGTTCAGAGAAAGACTGAAAATACGGGAAAATACGTTTACGGGATGATAGTGGGATAGAACAAGAGGGTTGACAGGTATGCGTTAGAAGCCGAAATCAAAAACCAAACTCGAATTTTCGATTTATTGCACAGCCCTACCTGGAGTACTTTTAAAATAAAATATTTTATAAGATTATAATATAATAATAATATTTATTTTAAAGATTTGTGTGTGTTGAGCATCAATTAACACAACGTAAGCACCTGTAAGCTTTAATTGTGGAAAAAACTGGATAATTTCAAGCTTTTGTCTGCTAATTTCATTTATTTCATATATCAGTTATTCATGAGAACATGTGCCATGTGCTTTACGAAAGCAAGGCAGATCTGCCAAGCTGTGAGACCCAGTGACTGGGTGAGACTGTGTCTGCACGGCACGGGTCATATATGTTTGTTTCACGCATTAAGCATCTTTGCACCTAAAAACACCAAATGCAGTGCTCTGGAATGGTTTAAAACAGTTGTCATGTCAACTTGCTGCAGTAAACAAAGCCTGCAATGCTTACTCCGCCTTCAAGCTCTTCTTATTGGCCCACTGCGCTAGAACAGA